CGGCGCGATGGGGGCGGGCGTGTTCCCCGAGGTGCCCTTAACCGCCCGCGATACGGCCCCTCGGCGCGCCTCTCCCGCTCCGCCTCCTCCTTAATACGGAGGACGGCCCCACAGAAGGTGGTGACCGCCCTCCAGTTCCCCTCGCTCTCGAGCATGGCTTCGACCAAGTTCGAGAGCGAGAGGTCCTCTTGACTTAAGGCCCTCCTTAGGTCACGGCGCAGCACGTCCCACGCTGGACAATCCTCCAGTGCGTGCTGCGCCGTGTCCTCCTCGACGGGACAGTGATGGCACCGCCGCGTAGCCTCTTTTCCTATGCGACACAGGTACGAACCGAAGCACCCGTGCCCGGTAAGCACCTGCGTCGTGTGGTACGACAGCTCGCCCCAGCGCCTGTCCGCCCAAACTGGCAGACAAAGCGCTAGGGCGCCGACGACCCTCGCGCCAGCCGTCTGCTGGTGCTCCTGGAGTTGCGTCTGCCACTCCAGGGCGAGCGTCCGCCGGAACCGGCGCCTCACCATTCCCCTCGCCCTAGCCGGGAGAGTCAGAAACTCCCTCCCTCTCGCGGAGCTCCCGCATTCGCCAATACTGCCCGGCGAATGCAGATGCGAGGAGCTCCGCGGGAGGAATCCCGGCCAGGGCCAGGGCCGCCTCAAACGCGACCGTTCTATACGCCCAAACGGCCCTGAGGGCCAGCACCCGCTGCACGCGATGCAACATGTCGCGCAGCTTGGCGCTGGCCCCCATCCGTCCGGCACACACCGGGGCCCCATATAGGGCCATGGCGTGGACCGTCCAGGCGTAGAAGCGCCTCACCCTCCCGTCCGGTCCCCCCAGATTGGGCAAGAGACGACCCAGGGCCATTGCCGTTTGGCAGTCTGGGGACCAGACGGGAGAAATGCTCCTCGAAGCACCAGCGGCTGTCGAGGATCAGGCCCAGGTACTTTAACGAGGACCCGACCCTCACTGTGGTATCCTCCACCGTGACCACCATAGGGGGTGGACGCCTTCGGGAGCCATCGTACCAGACGATGGCCTCCGATATTTGCGGCGCCACCCGGAGGCCAAGAGCCCTAATGGCTCTTACGACGCATGCCACCGCTAACGATGCGGTGGTGGCGGCCTCTTCCCAGTCATCCCCCTCCGCCAGGACTATCGTGTCATCGGCATAGCAGACCATACGACACCCCCGGGGGAGGGCCGCCACAAAGACTGAGTCGTACGCGATGTCCCACAGGATCGGCCCCAACACCGATCCTTGCGGGACACCGCACGCGACCCCCCTCGTCCTGTCAACCCCGTCCCGGTCCGTATATGACAGGGACCGGCAGCTTAGGTAATCCTGAACGATCACCTGGAGGTACCCCGGGAAGCCGAATCTCCTCAACGCCCCCCGGATGCACCCCCATGGCAGGGTGTTGAATGCATTCGCGATGTCAAGCGACACCCCCACCGACACTCTGCCATCTACCAGTGCGGCCTCCACGAGGGACCGCACTTTGAGAATCGCGTCAATTGTAGACCGTCCCTCGTGAAAGCGTCCCTGGTGATCGCTCAGGTCCGGTCCCACCTGTCTCATGTGTTAGACGAGGCGGTTCGCGACCACCCTTTCCAACATTTTTCCCGCCTCGTCCAACAGGCAGATGGGCCGGAACGAGGATGAACTAACCTCCATGTCCCGACCCGGTTTGCGGAGGAGGACTAACTTCGCCCTCCTCTACTGCTGGGGAAAGGAGCCGGTCTCGAAGCACTTATTAAACAGCGCCACGAACCGGCCTGCCATCACTGGGAGGGCCAAAGCCCACGCCTGTCTCGGGATGCCGTCCGGCCCCGGGGCCTTATGTCACCGAAGCAGGTCCAGACATACTCGAAGCTCCCCCTCCGAGACCCCGAGCTCATCCCGCCATCGGATGATTGGCGCCGCCTCCGTTGGCGGCGCCCCCTCCCCCGCGGAGAAAAGGGCCCCGACCATCCTCTCAAGGGTGGCCGGAGGGAGAGTCTCGGTCACTGGGGGCGCCCTCCCCCTTAACTTCCTTAACACTATTCTATATGGGTGCCTCCAGGGATCCTCATCCAGAGTACCCAAGAGCTCATCCCAGGCTCTGGCCTTCGACCTCCTGATAGCGACACGGAGTATCGCGCGCCTCGCGATACTCCCCGTACGCGCCCTCAACCACCCCCCTCGGCTTGTCCCTCCGCTTAAGACGGGCGTACCGGCGACGCGCCGAGATCGCCGTGGCTCTGAGCCCCGCGATCTCGCCGGTCCACCAGTACGCCCCCTTTCTACCGTGGGGGGGCGGACCGCACCCGAGGCATCGAGACGTCACAAGCCGCCCACATGATGCCCCGGATGCGCTCCATCCCCGAGCCCATGTCCCGCATATCCGCAGAACATGGGCCCCACGTGGCCGCTAAAACCATCGCCATCAGGAGGTCCCCGTCGAGTACCTTGGGGGACCATCGCCGCCCCGGGAGCAAGCGACGAGGCACGAGTCCACTACTGGGGGTGCACGCCAGGCGAAACTCCACGTATCGGTGGTCCGATAAGGTCTCGCACCTGGCATCCACCCCCCACCCTTCTATTAATTGTGCGGCGGACGGGGAGGCCCATGTCAGATCTACAATTGACTCCCCGTTCCACCGCACGCAGGTTGGCACCATGCCCTCATTAATCAAACGAAGGTCGCCCACTCCTCGAGAGCCTCACCCTTGCGGTCGCTCCGCGGGGAACCCCACGCCACGGATTTGGCGTTGAAGTCCCCCGCCACGACGACCGGACCGGGAAAGTGGCCCGCAACACAGGCCCCTAACCGGTCCAGCCGCCACGCGACCCCCACAAGGTCGAGGCTCGGGGGGATATACAGGGTGATTCAAAATAACCCCTGTGTCCGTGAAATGACACATTGTTGAGTCAATTCTAAGATGATTTTTCCTTTTGCAAAATTTTGTCCGAAGCTTAGTTTTCGAATTATTAAAGAAAGTAGTTAACGCATGACGGGTCGGATACAAGAGGCAGGCAAGGGTGACGCGAGGCCCGTCAGACGCGGGCGCTTACGCGGGACGCCTGCTGTGATCAGCTAGTCGCTATACAGACACACATGCGAACACATACATTCTCTCTTCGTCTGTCTCTCTCTCTCTCTCTCTCTCTCTCTTTCTCTTTCATTCGCTCACTCACCTGTATTTTTTTTTTTTTTTACGAGAGAGGGGAAAATGCATTTTATGCATACTTACCGGTCGATTTAGTGAGTTATGTAGGACTTGAGTACCAAGTTGAATTACCACCTCGGTATTCCCTACCCACTAAAAACCCCTCTCTTTTCACGAATTTTCTTTGACACACTGTCCCTCTGTTCTTCCCGAGATCCGTTTTCCCATAATGTCAAAAAATAGTTATTATTACCTTGTTCAATGACTTCTGATGTATTGCTGTAATTGCTTGAAGAAGAAATGATCGAAGAAGAAATTAATTTTCTGATAGATCGTACGTTCTCAGATTTAACGTAGATATCACGTTACACAAGAAATCCACATTAAATTATTAACTGAAAGTATTTCTTCTTTCATGAACTGCATTCTTTTATAAACTTTAACATAATCACATTTATTTACTCACTCGACGAGACGAGAAATTTACTAATGACTCTATCACTAATCACTATTAATCACTGTCGAATAATAACTATTGGCGATTAAAAATCACTCGATAAAAGAAACACGCACGGACACGTTACTACACGACGCGACGACGCGACAATGCGACGATAATTACTCGGCGACTGCAAGCAGTTTTTTGTCATAGTAGGTTGCGGTAGGTTAAGGTACTACTGGCGCTATCGAACGCGATCATGTGTTCGATTGAAGAAGTGCGTGTTTCTTTTATCGAGTGATTTTTAATCGTCAACAGTTATTATTCGACAGTGATTAATAATGATTAGTGATAGAGTCATTAAATAGAGTCATTAAATGATTAGTGATAGAGTCAGTAAATTTCTCGTCTCGTCGAGTGAGTAAATAAATGTGATTATGTTAAAGTTTATAAAAGAATGCAGTTCATGAAAGAAGAAATATTTTCAGTTAATAATTTAGTGTGGATATCTTGTGCAATGTGATATCTACGTTAAATCTGAGAACGTACGATCTATCGGAAAATTCATTTCTTCTTCAAGCAATTACAGCAATACATCAGAAGTCATTGAATAAGGTAATAATAACTATTTTTTGACATTATGCGAAAACGGATCTCGAGAAGGATAGAGGGACAGTGTATCAAAGAAAATTCGTGAAAAGGGAGGGGTTTTTAGTGAGTAGGGAATACCGAGTTGGTAATTCGACTTGGTACTCGAGTACCACATAACTCACTGGATTGACCGGTGGGTATGCATAAAATGCATTTTCCCCTCTCTCGTAAAAAAAAAAAAATACAGGTGAGTGAGCGAATGAAAGAGAGAGAGAGACAGACAGACAGACAGCAGACAGAGAAAGAATGTATGTGTTTGCATGTGTGTCTGTATGTGTATAGCGACCAGCTGATCGCAGCAGGCGCCCCGCGCAAGCGCCCGCGTCTGACGGGTCTCTCGTCACCCTTGCCTGCCTCTTGTATCCGACCCGTTATGCGTTAACTACTTTCTTTAATAATTCGAAAACTAAGCTTCGGACGAAATTTTGCAAAAGGAAAAATCGTCTTAGAATTGACTCAACAATGTGTCATTTCACGGACACAGGGGTTATTTTGAATCACCCTGTATACCCCCACGACAACGACTGTCCCCCACTGCACCGCGACGTACCCCCGCCCCGCTCCCACTAGGGAGCAGGGAGGGGAGCCCGCCGTAGCGCAAGCTACGATAGCCACAGAGCCCGACCGGTCCCCGAACCACTTAAGGTCATCGGGGACCACGTAAGGCTCTGCAGCTATCCCTAAACCGCAACCACGCTCCGCCAGGCCGTGGACAAAAAGGTCCTGCGCCTGGCGGGCGTGGTTGAGATTCGCCTGCAGCACCTTAACTTGACGGTGCTGCATCCCCCGATGCTGTCTCCATCACCACGGTGTCCTCCGTCTCCGTTTCAGGGGCTGGGTCCGGTTGTGGCTCCTGGTGTTGCTCCGGCTGCGACAGCTCCTCTTCCCTCTCTTTAGGCCCACGATTGGCCTCGGAGATTGGGGATGTCTCCTCCTCACCTTCCTTTCGGACGGGTCTCTTCCTCTTCTCCCGCTGGGGCTGCGGGGGGGGGCCCTTCGGTCCCCCCCACAACCACGGCGGGAGATGCCACCGCGGCGGGGACCCCCGGAGCCTTCTTAACTCCGAGACTCCCCGCCGCGGGGCCCGGCCTCGTCCTGCTCCCTCGTTTCCTCGCCGGGACACACGCCCTACTGCCCGCCCTGTGCCCAGCCGGGCGCCCCGCGTCTGCGCACACGGGGCAGCGCGGATCAGCCACGCAGCCCCCGGCAATGTGACCAGGGCCCCCGCACCGGTAGCACAGGGCGCTCCTGTCCACCTTGCACTGGACTCTGACATGCCCCATCTCCAGGCACCTATAGCATTGGGTGGGGCGAGGTTCCAGGACCTCTACCCTCACCCTGGTCCAGCCAATCCTCACCACCGTTCCCTCCTTCGCCAGCGTCTGCGCCAATCTCAGCGGGCATCGGACCCAAACTGCATTCAGGCCGTTGGAGGCCCTTCTCAAGGGCCCCACCCTGAAATTGGCTGTCACCCTAGCCAGGTTGGTCGCCACCTCCTCCGTCGTCGCCGCGTCGTCCAAATTGTGGAGGCGCAGGTCGGCCGTCCTCTCCGGTCGGCCGACCCGCACCCCCTCCATATGCGCCAACTCTTGGCGGAGTCTTGCTGCTAACTGATCCGCCTTTTTCGCTCCGTCCGCACCCGGAATCCCTAGAATTAAGGCCCCAGTGCGGGCCCTGCTGGGCCTTACCTCCGATATGCCCAGTTCCGCGATATCCACGCGGGACCGGGCACACCGGAGGGTCTCGGCGTATGTGCCGGGGGAGCACGTGATCCTCCGTCCTCTTTTTGGCTGCGGGGGTCTTCTCCTTCGCTTCCGCCTGCTTCTTCTCCTTCCAACCCGCGACCGTGGTCCAGGTGGTCGCCGTAGGCGTGGCCGTTGCGGATGAGGGCGGGGCTGAGGCGCTCGCCGCTCCGTGAGCTGAGTGACCGGTTTTGGTCCCTTCTCCAGCCCCTCCTTCCTCGGGCCTTTGTCCAGGGTTGGGGCCCCCTTAATGGAGCCCTTGTCTTGGCCTTGGGCCTTCTTACTTTTCTTCTTCTTCTTTTATTCTTCTTCGGGGATTCTCCCCCTGCCTGGGGGAGTCCCCTCCTCGCCTCCTGCGTCAGGGCTCCGCCCTCCCTAACCTCTCCCGTCTCCCCCTCCCCCCTCATAAGTAGGGCCGGGAAGGCAAAAGGTAAGGGGATGTGCGGTGTCCCTGGGGTCCTGATGGCTTGCAGGTACAGCTGCTCGATCTGGCTTATCGCTTGCTCGAGCCACTCTATACGCCGGAAACTGCTGCTTGCCAGCTTCTCCTCCTTCTTTCCACGTTGGTTGCCTTCCTCTCCTCGGCTCATTGAGATCTCAGGAGGGGATGGTATTACATCCACCTCCATCCCATCCCCTACCAAGGATGAGTTGGCCCGCCCTACCACCAGTTCTGAGGCCCACAGGTTTTCTCCTTCATGGGGGAAGTGCCCACGGATACTTTCCCCCTAGCCTCCTCTTCCATCGGTGAAGTTCCGCAGGATCTCATCAACCTAGGCGCCGGTCGGGGGGGCTGCTGCGGCGGGGTTCTCTGCATTCCCCGAGGCGGGTGCGGGAACATCCGCCCTGCGATCTTCGGCCGAAAACCGATTCCTGGAGCTGCGTCTCCAAGTCTGTTACGCTTTGGGCCCTCCTCGCATTCTCTTTGCGGAGCGCTGCGACTTCTTGCCGCAGCGCTCGCACCTCCTCGCTCGCCTCAAGGGTTCCTGCCCCACCTGTTCTTGCGGCGAATACCGTAACCGCCGCTGAAACGGTTGTTGCCGCCTCCCGAAGGGCCTTCACGTAAGGTCCCTTAAGCGTCTTGGATGTCCCAGCAACTTTCTCCACCGCAGCCGCCTGCTCCAATAGCCGCGCCGCAATATCATTCGAGGGCGCCGCCCTCATCTCCTCGATAAGCTCGTCTTCCTGGAAAATTTTCGTCCAGGTCCGAGCCGTTCGAGGCAATGGAGGGCAGGCAGGATCCAGGACGAACAGCTCCTCCTGTTGTTCCTCGTAGGCTTTCCTGTAAGCCAATGCCTTCTTCTTCTTTTCGTATTCACCGGTAGTGGCGGAACGTCCCACCGGTCTAACGTTTGGAGGTGGCAGGATCTCCTGCCTATCCTCCTCCTCATCATCGCCAAGATCATCCGACATCGAGGGGATAATGGTCCTGGAAGATAAAAGGGGTGCATTACTGTGACCCCCCCATCCCTCCCCGCTCTCATCGCGCGCGTCCGCGGCCCAACTACTGGCTCCGTCGCGCCCCCGCTCGAAACCGAACAAAAGTCCGATTCCTCGCACACGTCCTCATCCGAAACATTGCAGTGTTTAGAAGCCATGATTATATATATTTTCGACTTACGACGGTTCGCCCATCATGGGACCCCTACCGCGGTAGGGGATCTATCCCCGCCGGAAATTCGCCCCTAGCAAAAGTACACCGAAGCCGAGAAGCGGTTTATCGGGTGGCCGATCCTATCAATGCACTGAGTGACTCTAGAAAAAAAGTGTTACGGGATAGGCCCGCGCCATAACTGATGCAAAAGGTTTAACGTCACCCCTATTGAGTGGGTCTGGCGGATCCGAACCGCCAGGGGCCCAAACTTCGGGCTAGACGGTGCTGGGGAAATACCACCCCCAGCAGTGGTATGAGGAAATACGGGCCAGGTAATCCTCCATACCTGCACCCAGTTACTCCACTTCAACCCCGGGAGAGGCTCCGTTCAACGGAAAGGGAGCGGTTTTCCCACGTTAAACATGCCGGTTCAGGCAATCTTTCATGCATCTTCCCCGGCAGAGGTCAGGTACCAACGTCACCTTTCCGCCACGGTCGGGGGGCAACTATTCTCCCCTTGGTTGGTTTCCCGGGAATATCCATAGGGGCCGACCGCAGCCCACACATCCATTCACCACGCATTCATCACCAGGACGAACAAGAACCCCTCACGAAGACACACGCGCACACTACCCACACCCACGCATCCACGCGCACATTCACACCCCCTAAGCTCCCCCATCCCAGGAAGAGGCCGAAGGGGAACCCGGTCAGCAATGCCGCTCACCTCCCAGCCACCGCAAACATCTGACCGCCGGCATTAGGGGGACCGTTCTGCATTCTTCCCTGATGTCGACCCAGTTATCCTTAGTCCATTCTATTCCGCATTATAGTCCTATATGATCTTGCCTTGATTGGGTATTCTTGGTAGTTCTTGGAGATCCGTGAAGACTTCCCTAGTCCCTCCTCGTGTCAAAAAGAGTAGGTGAAAATAATGATGATAATTGATGAATGTATGAATAAATGAGACACAGACACATCGCGTCAGGGAGTAAGTAAGGGTCCTGACGCGCATTCTTGTTCTCTTCGTTGTCTTATTCTCTCGTCTTCCTCCTTCTTGCCCATAACTTTATGAGCGAAGGTGTTAGCCGCCAAATATATTTCCTTGCTGGTGCATATTGCCTCAATAAAAGTCCTCAGGTTGATGTTATTATTCATCTCTTCTTTCATTTCTTCTCTTTCCCTAGTCCACTCATCACATTGGCAAAGCGTATGTTCCGCGTTGTCAATGCCTCCCTCACAGTAGGAACACATTGCTGACTCGGTTTTCTTAATTCGCTGTAAATAATCGTTAAAACAGCCGTGGTCCGTCAGGATCTGGGTTAGTGAAAAATTCATTCCCCCAAATTCCCTAGTAATCCAGCCCTTGAAATCAGGGAGAATGGCCTCTATTAATTTACGACCAGGTAAGTCTTTATTTCTAAGTCGATTCTGCCATCTTGTATACATTTTATCTTCCTCCTCCTGTTTTAATGTTTTCTCCGCACGTTTGTCCCATGCATTTCTATTTTTTAGTTCTCTAGTTTTTTTCATATATATTTTTATATTTACAAGCTATCAGGATCCAGGGGGGGGTCCTGGCCAATAAAATTGCAGCTTCATATGCGATGGTCCTGTAACCTGAAATTATCCTGATTGCTATGTGTCTATGTGTCTTTTGCAATGATCTTTGTATAGTGGAACTCTTAATTATCTGGTCGTACCACACTGGTGCACCGTACATAACTATGGATTGTATGATGTAACCGTATAGTCTTCTCTAGTCTTTTACTTTCATGAGGTCCTCGAAGATTAGGCATAAGTCTACATAAGGCTTTTTTGACTTTTTCAACTTTCTCACTGATATATCGGAAATGTTCCGCAAAACTCAATTTGCTGTCCAGGATCATTCCTAGGTATTTCAAGTGTCTTTTTATTGGGATCTCTGTGTCATCTATTTTAAGAGAGTCCTCTTTAGGTGGCCTTTTACCCTTTTACCAAAGAAAATCATAGCTTCGGTTTTTTCCACTGCTACCTTAAATCCCATGTTTCGAATGGTACGTATAAGTCTTTCAGCTTGTATGTATGCCGTAAATTTAGCTTCTTTATACGTGTCGGCAGTAGCCATAACCAGGGTATCGTCTGCATAGCCGATTACTTCACAGTTTTCTTCTTTTTTGATCCTAAGTACTTGGTCATAAACTAAGTTCCAAATTAATGGTCTCAACACCGAACCCTGCGGAACACCTCTTTCTACACTAGTCTTGACTATTTCGCCAGATTTATTTGTATATTCGACGCATCTATTGTGGAAATAACTATGCAGTATTTTTCTAAGATATTTAGGGAATTTCTGTTTTTTTAGTGTATTACCGATTTCTTTCCATGGGATGCTGTTAAACGCATTTTCAATGTCAAGGCACAATAACATTGTTACTCTTCCTGTATGTCTTGATTCCTTGGCTCGTTCTATTACTCTAGATAGGGCGTCGATTGTTGACTTGTTTCTTCTAAAACCATATTGGTCTTTGCAGATTGTAAGGTTATGATATCCTCTGTTTGCCATTTCTTGCGTCCAGTTTTCAATACGTTCCACTATAATTCGTTCTAAACCTTTGCCAATGTCATCTATTAAACATATGGGACGAGCTTTGGGAATCCTTTGTTCCTCGATTTTGCCTTTGGGAATTAATACTAACCTCGCTCGTTTCCATTGAGTGGGAAATTCCCCATGCCGCATGCATTTGGTAAATATTTCCGCAACCTTATTAATCATGTTGTCTGGGGTCTTTTTCCACATTTTATTATTGATACCATCTATTCCAGGTGCCGTGTTCCTAGCTCCTTTTCTACGTAAAGCTTTATTAGTTTCCGCAAAACTCACATCCCATTCATCCTTCCATTCTCTAACTCTAAGCTCTATGTTGTTATCCTTGTTGTCATCTCTAGGGAATAACTTATGGATTACTTCCTTAAGTATATGTTCTTCAAATATTTCACTTATGCCGGGACCACTAATTTTTAATTTATTCATGACAAGTTTATAGGAAATTCCCCATGGGTCCTTGTCAATCTCCCGGATTAATTCCTTCCAAGAATTTTCTTTTGCATTATATATTGCCTGGCTGAGTTCTTTTTTAGCTTCTTTATACAGTTTTGCAAGCTCGGAAAGTTCCTCTGGGCCATATTTATATATACGGGTCTTATTCTTATCCCTATCTTTATCTTTCTTCCAGTTGGATTTTGCTCTAGTCCACTTTCTTCTTTGGTCGTTGCTTCCGTCTTAATTCCACTATATTGTTGTTCCACCAATATGCTTGTTTTTTCTTTCTTGGTTATTTAACTCTACTCATAGATAAGTCAGCAGCCTGAGCTATAGTTTTATCAATCCATTCAACATCATTTACGATCGTGGTGTCTTGTGAGATATAAGAGTGACAACTCCATTCTATTGCTTCTTCAAATAGTTCTTCGTCCATGTTATCAGTTTTCCATCGTCGGGATGTACTAGTAGGGACGACTGGAATGCTTGTACGTTTCCCTATGTTTATACTATAGGTAATGTAGTTATGATCTGAGAGGGACAGCACCGTGTCTTCGACAGTCCATTTCTCAATTCTACCTAAAATTTTGGGTGTTGCCCAGGTCAAGTCTACAATTGAGTTTCTCTGTTGTCTAGTACAAGTTGGGGTGTTTCCACTATTCACTAGTAACAAATTTATTTCTTCCATGAGTTTTAGTCATTTCTTTCCTTTACTAGATGTGTATCTGGAGCCCCATGCCATAGAGTGCGCATTGAAGTCTCCTCCTAGAATTATCTGTTTTCTTTTATCCAAACTCTTGATTCTGTTCTCTATTCGGTTTAGAACAGCAGAAAATTCCTTCAGACTACAATTAGGCGAAATATAACATGATACCATAATTATGTCTTCCAGTTCTATTGCCACAAATTCCTCTTCCTTTATTGCTTCAGTAATTCAAAAACTTGAAGTCGACGTCTAGAAAATCGCTGCACTTTTGTTCTTGCTACTGACCCAGTTTTTGTCTGGTATGTATATAGGTTCCGTTATGAGTGCAATTTCTGCCTTCCTTTCCTTCATGAATTGCTGGAGGAGATTATGTGCACCCCAGCAATGATTCAGGTTTATCTGAATAATGTTAATTGCCTTCATCATATTCCATTGTTTCCTCTTGTGTCGCAATTTCCCCCATGGTTTTGGGTTTTTCCTTTCTCCTTTATTTCTGTCTTCCTTGGGAATTTCCTTGGCTCTGTCGGGATTGTCATCCTACAGAAGCGAGATCCAATCCTATGATTTGCCTGGTAATTTTTTTCGGCACAGATCACGCACTTTGGTTCTTTCCTATCACATGCCTTGACCGTATGTCCAGGTATACCACAGTTGTAGCAATGTCCACTTCGGTCAGTCGAGGCACGACATGAGAACCTTACATGCCCGAATTCCCAACATCTGAAACATTGTAGCGGCCTTTTGGCAAGAAGTTCTATTTTTGCTACTGTCCATCCGATCCTAATTTTCCCTATGTCAGCCAACACGTTGGCGGAAACCAGCGGACATCGGATCCAGACGGAGCCCATACCGTTGTACCTCCATCTAATTGGACTGATCTTTACTTCATCAGCATTGCAACCTCCTGTTTCGGTAATTACATACCTCACCTCCTCTACTGTGACTGATTCGTCTAATCCGGTAATTCTAATTTCCCCCATGGCTGTGGGTCTAGTAATAGTGACTTCCTCGTCGCCAAGTTTTTCTCGTAGTTTTTCCGCAAGAATCTTGGCCTTTTCTTTTCCTTCGTTACCTGGAATTTCTATTAATAGGTTACCATTAATCCCCTTTTTGATCATGGTTGTCTCGATTCTAAGTTCCCCTAGCGATACTTCTTGCCTAGCTTTTTTAAGTATAGCTGCGTAACAGGACTGGTTGTCTCGTCTGGTACTCGAATGGCAACTACCGCATTCCTGGGTGGTTTCCTAGTCCTCGTGCCGATTCTAGGGCCAGTCCCTCTGTTAGAGTTCCGTCTTGTTGACCTATCACTCGGTCTTCTATTTCTAACTGTTTCCCAGTTATTTATATATTCCCTAGTCTGTTCCTTGACATGAGGGTCATATTCCTCCAGTAATCAGTGTTGTGAGACGGGCCGGGTTTTTTCACGCATGCGCGGCGAACGTAATATCAATGAAGTATCTTTATACATAAAAAGGTGTACCATAGTACCACGTTGGTCATCCATTTATAATTTTGCAAAAGTTTTTATAATTTAAGAGAAAATATTATTTTTTAAATTATTTTATGGATATATTCTCTACAGGATGAGGAGTTAACCATCCTTTAAAAATATCTTCATCTAGCCAAGAATGTTGAAAATTTCTAATTTTACGTTTTTTAACAACTCCTTTTCCAATACTACTACTACTACTATTACTACTATTATTATTATAATCCATTTTAATATTTACTCACCAACAACTATCCAATTTCTCTTTTCCTCTATTGCACGTTAAGCCCGCCAAAACTTTCAGCATTCACGTCGCACTAACCTTCTGCAGATACTAGATACGTACCTGTAACTACTAACCTAACAGTCAACATAGCCGCGCATGCGCGAAAAAACCCGGCCCGTCTCACAACACTGCCAGTAATTCCTGTTTGTCTGGATTACATCTGGTAATTTCTTGTTGGTAAATGTCCCTGGGTGGAATAAGTTGTATATTTCCTATGATTCTTGGCTTATCTTTATTTCCTTCAGTTTTCTCCTTCCTTTTTTTAGTCAGAAGTTTCCGTTCTTCATTTAATATTCTAATCAGCCTGTTGATTTCACTAACCTTTTCTTTATCCGTATTTATAGTTCCCAATTCTCCTTCCTGTCCAGACGCATATTCTCTAGACAGAGTTAGGGTATCCATATTCCTGACTGTCGGGGGAGCTATGTCGTCAGTCCTAGCGATATCTTCTCTCTTTATTTTCCTAGATGGAGTTATCAAGGGTGTTTCTGTTTGTTTAAATTTTGGACCATCTATCAGGAGCTGCTTACTAACACCTCTTATTGGAGGTCGAAAAATTGGTTCGTCCTCTTTAATCAGCGCATAGGTGTCCTGTAGTAATTTTCTAGTTTTCGTACTGTCTTCCATAGCTAGGGAATCCCTGTCTTGTAGCTTCATTTCCTTTCTCTTTTTTTTTCCATCTGAATGTATTTCTCCTCCATTTCTTCGTACATTAATTTTATTCCTTCCGTTTCTTTATCCTTTTGGTTAATAATCTGTTCAAACTTATTGATATCCTTTTTTAATCGCTTATTTTCAGTAATTGCTTCTAATCTTTCTTTTTGTAGCAATTTGATATCCCCTTGCGCTTCAATTTTGTCGACCAAGCATTCAAGAACATTCTTTAGGCCCATTATTCTGTCCTTCAGGACTCCATCTATTATACCTTGGAGTTTACTGCATTTCATCCTGGCTGTATCAATGTCTTCTATTAATTTAAGTGCGATGGCTTTTACCTCGTATGTTGTCCAAAGTCCATAGTCTACCTTATTTTGCCTATTATTTTGGGAGATTTTATTTGGTAATTTATATGTTAATCCTTTCCCTCTTTTGTGTGGTTTATTCATACTTCCTATTTCTCTATCCTTATCGTCTTTGGTTAGGTCTAAGGGGTCTCTTCCCCTGGGCTATCCTTCCTTATAATAGCATTTTTATTTTGCTTTTTTCTTTGCCTGCTTCGATTCTCTTTGGCAGAACTAGCGGATGATATAAATGCCGTGCTATCCTCGTCGTCACTAGAAATTATGTGTATCCTTTCTTCCTTTTTATTTCCAGATGATCTGGTTATTCTTCTTAATTTTCTTGTAATTACCATATTATCATTTTTCCCCTCGGGTGTTCTTTTTATCTTCACTTCTACTTCCTTCCATTTCATCCAGTGATTCAGCAAAAGATGAGTCCAATAATGGATTCATAGTCTGCTCAGTACTCCGACAGATTTTTTTTGTCCTTACCTTCCTTTTTCTAATTATAATTTTTCCAGTTTCTCCCGCGACCGGTGAAATTTTTTCTACCTCTTTGTCACTTGGTGAGGGTGCACCAGGAAAGTTTCGGGCCTTCCTCTTGTTACCAGGAGTTCTAAGTTCCTCCTCACGGAGAGATTGGTTCTCCGTTTCAGGTTCTTTGTGCGTTGTAGTAAAAGAACACATAGGTAGTTCATTGGAGTCGTTGGAGACATTATCCTCTGTCATAACGTCGACGGTAGCCAATTTACGCTCCTCCCTTGTCGGCAGAGAGAGAGCAGGCCCTACGTATGATGAAGACATACCCGCCTCAGGGACCGTAGGGCTGGTACGCCTGCCACTGAGACTCCGAGACCTCTGCGGCTGTAAGTTTCTTTGCAAGTCCTTGTCCATTGCCATATTGTTTATGTTTGGGGACAAAATTCGAGTGTCCCCGCCTCTAGGGTGGTTGAATGATACAAGACCCTGGGTCCACTCCAACCCAAGACAATCAAGAGTTTCAATTGGTTCTTTTCCTTGCTGAGACGGTTCCAAATAATCTCCTGATGATGTTAACAGGTTAGACACGTCATTCATTTGTTGCTCGATATCAGACAAGGTGTTCTTTTTCTCCTCAATTCTTCTGCTAATATCTCGCAGGGCGGCTTCTGAGAGATCGATCTTCTTAATCATCCTGGTATCCATAATAATATCCAACTCTGAATCGTCCTCCCCAGCTCGAACATCTTTCTGCGAGCTACATCTTTCAACTTTATCAGTTGTTGTCTCATCTTCACAAGGTGAAGATGTAATTTCGGTGTAATGCCCCTTAGTACACTAAGCTCCGCGTCCATATCCTGCTCACGTGCGTCCTAAGTCGGATTAAGTATGTTCTAGCCAGACACATTTGTTGTCCATAATCGTATAGTAATTTCAAGCATGCAATCGTAACGCGTATTTTATTCCTTGACGCATGATTCCCTCTTCTCGAAAAGTCATTTTCTATCATGTAAAGGTTATGTACTGCACGGCCAAAAATTTCTTCTGGTGTTTTTTGGTTACTGGCCATTGTGTGCATATATGTCTGTATATCCAAGATTCTGGCCATTTTGTCCCTAATACTCAATTGGTGAGACTATTTCTAGGTATAAAAAACAGCAATCGGAATACAAGTTATTCTGACCGGTTGGCCTACCATATGCCTTAATCATATGGGGACCACCATGCAGCATCCCGCGCTATACATTTTACCCCAAGAGGATTTTTACAGGCTCCAGTAGAATATAAGGCATCGGATCGATCTGGAGCTATTGCCAGGTCGCCGAGCCATCCCAGAAAGCCCAGTCGCCTCTACTAAGTCCAAGTATATGGCAGGGAACTAACTATACCAGCCGATTATACAGGACAGGTCACCTCAAGCTTATTTGGGGAAAGTCACTAGGGTCTAGTTATTTTTCCGGGACAGTCGTAAACCACAGTCAGGAACTCACTTCTTACCACGCAGTCGCCAAAGTTCGCACTTCCGGTATGCGGATTCAAGTACTTCGAACAATGATTGACATGATGAGACAGTCCACCCGTCAGAGTCCGTCTTCTGACCTTCTTTTCAATCTACTTCCGATTCTATTGACTACCATTCTCCTGGAATCAATCCGGTCATAGTCAGAAATATAATGTAATCCTGGGAAAATAGAAAGCAGGTATCACAATGTCTTGTGTACCGGTAATGGTCCCGGGTCACCCTAGCTACACTATTATAGGTCTCCAAGAGGTAAATTCCCCAGCTTATAAGTCCTCTATGGGAACTCACTAGGCCCGAAGATCAGTACTCACCAAAATCTACTGCACCTCTCTCGGTGATCCCCCTTCCAGTAAGCTGTACGGGTGGGTATCACCTTCCGCTAACAACACAGGATCCACTGTACCTCCGCTACTGATCCCGCTTCTGGTAGGCTGTACCAAGGAGTATCGCCTTTTAGTAATTATTTGTCCAATGCATGTCCTTTAGAATCTGCACAGGTCCACCGTGCCTCCGTCGCAGATCCCAACCGGCAGTGCCAATTGAGGGGACACTGCCCCCTAACTCCTATCCACCTAATGCGCATCCACAAAAAGCCGCCCACTCTCACTGCGCAGCCATTCAAGATCGCACTTCCGGTGTGTGGATTCAGTTGATTCAGGAAATAGTCAACACTGTAATTTTTCGTCAAAATTCATCTTCCTTCTCTCTATTTGTGCCTACTTCCGGTTACCAGTCTGCCAAAATTAGCTCGTTCATAACCGGTAATACGTTAAGGTTTGAAGAAATAATCGTCCTATTCCTATCCACCCAATGCGCATCCACAGAAAGCCGCCCAGGATCGCACTTCCGGTATACGGATTCAGTTAAATCAAGAAATAGTCAACACTATGGGATAGTTTTTTCCTCAAAATTTACCTTCCTTCTCTCTATTTACCCCCACTTCCGGTTTGTTAGTCTGTCGAAATCAAATTGATCATAACCGGTAGTACTTTAGAGTTCGAAGAAATGATCGTCCTAGGAAGAGTGCACAAAGAAAAACCAGAAAAAGCTCACATTCCAAACATTCCAACATTCCATGTTCGCAGTTGCTCGTCACTTCGAAAGATACTTTCATATGAAGAGTATCGTGCTCCTTACTGTGTTCATTTCAGTGCGTATATATTTATCAGGTAAGAATTATCATTAATTTTAATTAATTATCCAGGTGTTACTACTTATATTTTATCATTAAAAATTAAATAATAATTTCATTCAATAGTAGAATGCCTCCAAAAAAGGCACGCAGGGGCCATCGGAACCGGCATTATCCGGGGCTACTTGTATCAAAAAGGGTGGCCCTGGTGAGGTGCCACCAGATCGTCCTCCGCCTCGCCACCCTTCTGACGGCGTTACCACCCCGAGTCCTACACCACTTGACCGCCTGCAGGGTAGTCCTGAGGCGCACAATGATTACAAGTATAAGAAGCCATGTGATTTTAATTAAGCGTTTAAATAAAAAAGTGTGAATATATAAATAATCTTAATTCATTTTTCCTTATCATTACTATTTATTTATTTAGATTTAAGGCTTAATATCTATCTATCTGATTTATTTGAAAATTATCATTATTCCCTCAATCCAATGTTATTTGATCTGGCAATATAAATTCATCCTTTTTAATATACTATATGTGTGCGCTTACACAATGTCTTGTGTACTGATCATAATTCTGCACATACTATACACTCAGCTACCCATACTATAGATCCTCACTAGGGAAACTCAACTAGTTATAAGTCTACACTGTACCATATACTCAGCTACCCATACTATAGATCCTCACTGGGGAAACTCCCTAGCCCCAGCAAAGTATATCAACATCTAGTGAAATTTACTTAAGCCACGTTTATAAGTCATAATATCCATAGCTTAAAGTTAAAAATTACTCTACAAGACTTGTGTGCTGGGCATTGACTGTATTCACTCTCGCACCTGCCACTTTCACTCTCGCGTACACCTGTCACTTTCACTTCTTCTTGTCAGTTTCTATGTAATTGTCAGGTAATGTCAGGCGAATCCAGCCGAACAGCCCATGTTTTTAGTCTGGCAATCTAAATTTACGTTTATATACTCGTACGTCCTATGTAATGAATCGTTCTTATAACTTATAACTTATTAATATATATATATATATATATACAGGATTACACAGTGTCCTATGTACGGGCCATAATTCTGTACTATACAATGGGCTTTGTTGCATATACTATAGGTCCAACTAAGGAAATTCCCCAGACCGCAGCTAAGCAGTAAACTCAACTATATCTCAGTAAAATCACTAGTGTCTCCAAGATAGTTAATCAGCCAACCACCTATTGCTCTTGAGTTAACAATAACAATGAAGTTGGTGTGCATCCATCCGAATCACTGATCGACTATTGGATTCTTCAAGATTCCAGACTCGATGCAACCACTAGGCAAACCTGTCCCTTCGAGCCATACCCGCTGGGCTCTCTATGTTTATATTTCAAGATCTTCGTTTTAATTTCAAATGCCACGTGGCAGTATCGCTGGAGAAATGTCACTAGGCCCATCAACTTGATCTGCACAAACTGTAGCTTCCCCAGGGGAATTTTTCCGAACCAAGGATGTCAATATTCCTATACACAATCGTATGATTTTACAAATGAGGTTAGGTGTACAGCTATCCAGGCAATCAACTAACAATAAACATAGTTGATTTATCACAATATAGCATTCAAGGTTTCAATTGTTCATTAACTTCTGTTGATCGACACCTCGTTGCATCGATGAGTCGATTTACACTTCAGATGCCACGTGGCAGTGCCACAAGGCAGATGTTTCTAGGCATCAACTTAATCTACACAAACTATACACAAACTATAAATCCCCAGGGGGATTTTCCACACACTGTCACTTTCTGTCTAATAGTGAGGTTATGTGAGCCCTCATTCAGACAGAGAGCTAACTATAGATTTGTTGTTTTCCAGAGTTTCACCACCACTAGAAAATTTAAAATAATCCACAAAATATCTTGTCCCCTCGAATCACGCTCCCAAAGCACTTAATTATTTTAAATACAAGTAATATGCAAGGTTTCTACAGATTAGTTACTGATCATTTATTACTAGTTTACTTTACAGGAACAATACATCGATATCTCGATGAGACAAGTCATACATCAAATGCCACGTGGCAGAGTCACAGGCAAATGTCACTAGGCACTTCTTTAAGAGTATTTAATAAAATACGGCTAGTAGGCATTAATTATATATCTTTATTATCAATAATCAATCACCGGCCATTAAACAAGAGCAAGTTCACCATTTGGATCTCACATATCACAGATATTCGGAAGTATGAAATGCCACATCATCCATGAGGATCCATGAGGACCAAAGTTGTTCCTCTCGTCAAGACGCATCGATATAGCCCATAAAAATATACCCTTAGGGTTGCACATATCCGCGCAAAACCCATAACCCTAACCTAACCTAACCTTTTTTTTTTTTTTTTTTTTTTTCGATGAGGAATCCAAGTCTTGACGGACACCCTTCGCCCCTTCACATAAGAAGAGGGCTCCAGGTAGTGCGGGACTCCAGGTCGGATGCATCCACCACGGACCTGACTACCCGCTAAACCTCACCGGTGGCATCCTAACGTTCAACAGCAACCCCGGGAGAAAATCGCTTGTGCATTACTTCCCAAGGGCCGCCAAAAACGTCTGTGCATTGCGCATCATCTTCCAACATTAATTAACGTTAAACCCAAAAAGTGTTATCGGGTAGTCAAAAACCAGATAATAGCTCCGGTGCCACAGTGCAATACCGGAACCTCCCGCCCGCCACGCAAACGGGGGTGGGCGAGGGGGGGAAACGGGATTATTCCCCCACCACGCGCACCCCCGCCCGCACGACGGGGTCAAAACTCACCCATTGAGCCAAGTACAGACAAGCGAACTGAAATGAAAGTACAGTGAATAATGATCCTTAATAAATAAATGAATGATCAGTCAGTGACCAGCCAATCAATCATTCGACCAGTCGACCGACCAATTCAGCGATAATGCTGTTAGTGGTCGAGGTGAAAATGGAGTGAGACTAAACGAACGAAACAGAATGACCATGATCAGTAGAATGAATAAAAAAAAAAAAAGGTACGGAAAATGAATGGTAATGAGCTGAACTTATTTAGATAATGATCTATTGCATACATGGAGCTCAAAATATAAATCAAGAAACTATCTTAGGGGGGGGTGTGCTCCTTAATTGGGAGACGTGAATTGGGAGACTCTATCTCACGCTGTCTCTCTTCCTCCTCCTTCATTTTTAACACATAGGAAGCAAATTTGATAAACGCCAACCAATTCTCCTTATTTTCTAATATTTTATCAATGATTAAAATTAGCGTTAACCTACTAGAATAGTCAATTCTTATTTTGCGTATGAATTCAAATCTATAATCGTGCCACGTGGGGCATTCTGCAATTGTGTGTTCCAGTGTGTCATCCACCGAAGGGCAATGACGACACGCCGGTGCCTCCGTCTTGTTTATCCTCCATAAAAAAAAAAAAAAGTCCAAAGCTACCATGACCAGTTAGCATTTGGGCACCATAGAAGTTTATCTCGCCGAATTTATGCACCAGCCACCTATGCAAATGAGGCCGAATTGCTGAGACAGTTTTTTGGCCCCAGATTCCAGGCCTATCTAGGGATATTTGCCATTGGCGGATAAGTGACAAATATTCCCCATCGCGAACTTCGGCATCCGTTTGGGGGCTATATTCACCTCTAGCTCTTAAATCCGTGATTCTATTATATATTCTGCTCCGCATAGTAGCCTCGAGTGGCCAGGGAGGATTTCTAGCCAACAGGGTCGCTGCGTCATAGGATACCGTCCTATAACCAGCGATCATCCGAATAGCAATAGCTCGCTGTAAGCGACGCAGCGGGCGGTCAACTCGATCCGAGGCAGATGAAAATGCCTCAGCCCATACCGGGGACGCGTACATAACAACTGACGTCAAGACTTTAGCGAACAGCTGCCGCTTTCTCTCCCCCGGACCTCTTAAATTGGGCATAAGCCTATTCAAGGCTCGAATAACCCTAGACGCCTTGGATTCAACATAACAAAAGTGAGACCGAAAATTCCACGATCCATCCACCATGATTCCCAGGTATTTCATAGAGTCGGCTAGTTGGATATTGACTCTACCCACTCTAACCATCGGCATGTTAATCGGCTTCTTTTTGCAAAACAGAATCGTCTCCGTCTTGGTGTCAGCGACCCTCAAGCCAAGTTTTCCAATTTGACGTGTAACAACGGGCAACAATGGGCAATTTGAATATTAGCCTTAACTATCGCATCGAACAAGCGATCCGATGTGGAAAGAATAAGGGTGTCATCGGCATAACACACCGTATGACATCCATCCTCGGAATTAAGTCGGAGGACCGAATCAAAAGCGATGTTCCACAGGAGTGGCCCTAGGACCGACCCCTGCGGGACACCAGCCTGAATCTCTCGTTCGACAACACAGCCTCTATTATTTTTATAGACTATAGACCTACAAGAGAGGTACCCCGCAACAATTCTACAAAGATAACCCGGAATCCTTTTCTGTGCCATTGCGTCTAATATGACACTCCACGGAATTGAGTTGAACGCGTTTGCAATGTCAAGCCCGACCGCAATAGCAAAACCGTTGCCATCTGTCGCAATCCGCGTGAGTTCACGAACTCGCAAGAGGGCGTCTACGGTAGATCTAGCTTTACGGAATCCGTACTGATTACATGAGAGAGAGCAATCCTCGTTATCCTCGAGCCAGCAATTGATTCTGTCTGCGATAATCCTCTCAAATGTTTTCCCGATTTCATCCAACAAACATATAGGACGAACCTTTATATCTTCCGGGCTATTAACCGGCCCCTTAGGAATTAATACCAACATTGCCCTCTTCCAGGGTCCAGGGAAAATGCCCGTTTTAAGGCAAGTAGTAAAAAGACCAGCAAGATGCTCCAACACAAAATCCTCCAAATACCTTTTTCCAAACGGAAGACTTAAGGTTGTCAGGGCCAGGCGCTACGTCCCTGCTAGGCCTCTTGACAACAAACCTAATAATGTCCGTTATTCCGACTTCCATGTCTTCCTCCTCATCCGCCAGAATGGGCACCTCCGGTCGAAGCCGGTTAGCCATGCCCACCGGAAATAGGGAGTCCAACAATACACTTAGAGTATTCCCTTCAAGAGTTTCTGTTAGAGCAGGGTCAGACCTCCGAAGCTTTCCCATCACCAATTTGTAAGGGAGTCCCCATGGGTCAGAGTCCAAGGTGGAAATCAACTCCCTCCACGAAGCACTCTTAGCCTTTTTAATCGCATATGTAAGCGATTTCTTTGCCGCAACATACTCTTTTTTTTTAATGAGAGTTTCGGCCGGGTCGTTGCGTCGCCTGCATCGGAGCCAACGCCGCCTAGCCCCGATGGTTGATCTTCTGAGATCGGAGATCTCCTCCGACCACCAGTGCACCTGACGCCGCTTGTTTTTACACGAAACTAAGGGGGCCGCCAGATTACACCCGTTCCTCATTAGATCCGCAAGCCATCTAGCATGGTTTTCCGGATCATGTTCAAGATTATCCGGTAATTTCGTGTCAGCTAAGAATTCAAGAGCCTCCCTGAGAAGGTCATAATCTAGTTTCTTAAGATTCCACCTCTTCCGAGTAGAAACCCTACTTCTTTTAAATAGGCTAGGATTTTTAAGAACGATTTCGATGTACTGGTGATCGGAGAGAGATTCAACATGTTCCAAAACCGACCATCTATCCACGCGCTCAAGAAGGCCAGAGGAGACCCACGAGAGATCTATAATGGAGCGCCCTTGTGTTCTAACACAAGTGTAAGCTTCACCCGTGTTAAGGAGTCTGAGATCCAGGGCCGCCGCCCATCTTTCCACAATCTCCCCTCTCCTATCTGTAACCAACGAGCCCCAGAGAGCGGAACGGGCGTTAAAATCACCGCAAACCATTACCGCTCCCGATGCTGCACTGATAACACTACCTAAGTTCTCCAGGAAACACGAAAACACATTAATACTCGAGTTTGGAGAAACGTAGCAAGAAACTACCTGTATGTCACCAAAGCTAACGACAACTAGGCCTTCTGCTCTACTAATGAAACGACAACTCCAACCTACAGAACTATCCGGTTTCCATAAAATAGCAGACAGTCCATCTTCACTGAGGAAACACGTGTTACCTTCGACCAATCTACGCGGGAGCTCGGATAAGATCCCAAGACCTATATCCGTCTCGATCATGTGCTGTTTTAGCAGATCAAGGGCTCCCCAGCTCCGATTTAGGTTAATCTGTAGGAATTTAATTCGCTCAGACATTATAGTCTAGTGTCCGTGCAGTACCCAGCCTCCATTCATTATAAGGATTCTTTTTAATCAACAGCGGAGCGCTGGGGAATCCCTGATTCGCCAAGCAACGGGTAGAACCCATCCGATGCCTAAAATCCTTGCCATTTTCTTCACAGATCAGGCACTTGGGAAGACCAGCATTGCACGCACCTACAGCGTGGCCTGTTTGTCCACAATGAAAACACATTCCGATTCGCTCTACCTTCGATCGACAGTTAGGTCGTGGCCAAAATGCCAGCATTTGTAACATTGGACCGGACGCCTCCTGAGCAACTCGATTTTTACTCCGATTTTACGTCCAGCCCAACGACATAACGCCTTTTTCTGCGACTTTAATCGCGGTCTCTAACGGGCACTTCACCCAGGTAACACCATGCCGTCCCGCATGTTAATGATAGGGCTTACCTTAAAGTCCTGTCTTGAACATCCACCCAAGGCCTCCAATTCTGTATATACTTCATCCGTGGACGTAGACGGATCAATTCCACGTAGGCATAATTCGCCCATCGCCATAGGATTTAAGATCTTGGCATCTTCTCCAAGAGCGGCAGTAAGTCTCGAACTTAAGGTGCTAGCCTGTTGCTTCCCTTGAGGACCAGGTATCTCAATAACAATCGCACCATTCATGGCCCTGCGGATAATGGTGGTTTCGATTCCGATATCTTTAAGAGAGACTTTCTCTCTAGCCTTAGCCAATATGTCAGCATACGTAATATCTGCGGACTTGTTGGTAATCGTAACCACAGCCGGTTTTGTCAATTTCCGACCAGGCTCTGCCGCAGCTCCTCTAGTGCTGTCAAGACGCTGACAAGTTCCTGTAACCGCCTCATTAGAATTTAAGCTCTGAATACGTCTCCTTCTTCCAGTTGCCTTTATCCATTCAGCATTCCTAGGGGAGGGATGAGAGGGAGGGACTAGCTGCCTATTTTCAATCAGTCTAATGCCTTTGTTGTGCGGCATAACAGGCACAACATCCTTAACAATAGATTTCTTATCATGACTAACTCTAGTATTTGTACATACATCAGGATTAATAATAGTGTTAGTTTTAACTTTAATATTAGTATTAGTATTAACATCCTTTTTAGCTTCGATCGTATCCATCCAAGACGTTGAATCTCTTCCTTGAGGCCAATCCATTTTGCGGTTCATATATTCCGCATTGGTTGAGCAGCCGGGAGTATTATTCAACAACGGTTCAACTTCCATGTTCAAGCATACTTCCTGCTGATGTGATGAGGGCCTAGTGTCCTTTTCTTTACTTTCCTTTTCATAACGTCTCTCAGGAGTGGACAATCTCTTCGGCTTTTTGAAATGAAATTCAGGCTGAATCAAAGAGGGTACACAAGCGGGGAACGGGCCAAATCCTTCTTTTAAGGATCTAACCGCTCAAGATTGGAAATCATCCTCCGTAAAGTGAGTATCTCCTTGGCTTGTGCCTTCTCTTTGCGTTTAATTTCATCAAGTTCCTCCTTGAGGGAAAAATTCTCATTTTTCAGGGTAATAACATCTTCCACTGTTGTGAGCTTTTCTATCAAGGCTCTAATAATTTCAGTTGCAATTCTTCCACTATCTTTCATACGACCAGCGACTTGTCCAGAAATGTTGCTACACAAGCTCCTCTGTCGGTCCAATTCGGCCAGGTGATCAATACAGCGTCCTCCGAGAACAGCTGGATCCATGTCCAGCCAGTCCTGCCTAGTATACTGGAGCTCTTTCTCCGCGTCCTCCTTAGGAACTTTGACAGGTATCTTAGTTTTCTTTCTTGGTCTTTGAACCGGATTCTTAACGGTGGGATCGATTGCTCTTTTTTTATTAATATTCTTCTTCCTTGATTTTTTACTACTGGAGGAGCAATAACTGCTCCCGACCATACTATCAGAGTCTTGCTCCGAGTATTCACGGGATACCGGACTAACACCTTCCTTACGGGATCCCGAGGAATTAAACCTTCTTCTGCACTTAGCTCTTAAAGTATAATTCCTCGTCTTACTTTCCTCTTCCTCTTCCTGTATACGAGCTACAATGTCTATGTACTCCTCCCTAAATTCAGAGGAAGATCTTCTAACTATCTCATTTGTGCTCATTTGCTTCGAATCTGAGTCATTTTTATGATCTTTATCATCCTTTTTTCCAGATTTACTTAATCTCTTCTGATGAGAGGCCATAAGCTGACTAAAATCAGCTATCTTTCCTCTTCTTCTCGTACTGGTTCTCCTAACTTGGGTGTCAGGGGAGGAAGACATCGCCAGACCTTCCTCAGCAGGCACCTCGGTCTCAAAATTTGAGGCGCTAGTTACCACTTCAACAATACCATCAAAACCATCATCTTTGTTAATACTTCTCGCCTCCGGTGAGTCTATCGATTCGATAACTCTTGCTTTAAAGGGTCTACGAGTAACAACTCTCTCTCTCTCATCATTATCCAATTCGCTACCTGGCGACGTAGACGCCTTTCTCTTTTCTCCGGTAGCTTGCATAACTATAGTAGCCTGGACAGGTGTTTCCTCAGGCAAGTTCACGGGGGGTGTATCCGTGTGTCCGCATAACACGACATCAAGAGGATCAATCTCAGCAGTAGCCATTTTTGCTGCTGGGGCGCTGACTGAGGCCGCCTCAACAGTGCCTTGCAGGATTCACGTCCTAGAACGTTCGTCCCGGCGGCGTCGGGCGCACCACCGTGCCGGTCCCTGGGAGATCCGACGGCTCCCTGAGACAGTAAGTCTTTCTCATTTCCTTGTATCAAATCCATATTTGTTATAAGTTTTGGGGACCATTTTCGAGGGTCCCCGGCCCTAGAGCGGTTGGATGAT